GCAGCATTTTGGAATAATTATGAAATAGTATCATTATTATTACAAAATGATATTGATATAAATTCACAAACAAATGGTGGACAAACAGCATTACATTTAGCTGCATCACAAAAAAAATCATCGTGAAACAATTCAATTACTTCTTATGCATCCATTTATTAATGTAAATATTCAAAATAAATTAAATGAAACAGCAATTATTATTGCAAAACGTTCCAGTGCTGTTCATTGTCTATTTGATTTATATACAGATGCATTAATGAAATTAAAATAAATTTTTATCTGTGATTTAGATCTGTTAAAACTTAATACTAATTTGATAGTAATGCAGAACTTCGAAATCTTAGATTTGATGATTAATAATATTCTCAGTCTGTTTTGATAGTATCTTGACAAATCAAATTTATTACTAAGGTTCTTGTCATCATGAAAAGAATGAGACAATCTTATATAAATTGATTTATTTCATCCGTTGACTATCAATTCTTCTTTATCATGAAACTAAATCAATTATTTGCAATGATGAGCCAACTCCATGAATGTTGTTTACTTAGGCTAATATATCATCAAAATAAAAGCATTTTTCGAATTCACGTGTTAATAGAATCCTGTTGATTTTTCTTTTTATACAAAACATAGAATAAGAACGTGCACGGAAGAGAAAAAGAACTAATAACAATCATCACAGAAAAAAAGAAAAAAAAGTTGATGTTCAAATGAAATTCGTTCGTACGAGAAAACATGTCACTGTTATTTGTTTGTTTGTTTTTTTAAATAAAAAGACGAAAAAGAAAAGAAAATGATTGCTTGAGCTGTGTTTATATAAATAAATCAACACACATCAAAAATGAAAAAAAAAAGAATTTTAATCACAACTGAAAAACAAACCATGAAAAAGCAAAAATCACACAGCATCAATACTCGTGCAAAGTTCACGAAGTAATTGTAAATTTTTTGGTGTTACTGATGAACTTGAACTTGCTTTATCAATTAAAGTACTACCAAGTTCTGCATATAATGCTGATGTTATGGAATGTATAGAGGAATTTAAAGTATTCACACCACCAGCTGATGATGTTACAGTCGTAGAATTTTGACCACGTAATTGAGTTAACAGTTTCCAATAGGTTGGTAATAGATGAATTTCAACTTGTTTCGGTTTTCGTTGACATACTTGAGGTACAAGAGCTAAAAGATAATAATAAATTTTAAATCTTGCCAGATTTATTGAGAATGAAAACAAAGGGACGTAATACTAGTAAATTCCAAAAGCATTGGAGGCGACGCTAGGGTTCTACAAAGTGGTCGCGTTAGTTTTTTTATCATATATTAAACTAGACATTTTCTTATCTATAATCTTTGTAAATTAAGAAATGGCAAATCAATCTTTCTTGTTCGAGCTATGGAAAAAACATGTATTTGATTCACATTGAAAATATTAAAAATTTTTACCAACTTCATATATTATTTTGCAGATAAAGGAAAAACTTTAGATCGGGACGGGGACCAGCAGCAAACACTTGACCGGGACCGAAAAGGTTTTACCGGGACCGGGACGAGATCGGTACCGAAAAAAAGTGATTTTGCAGCTCTCTAGCCGCGACGCGCCCACCCCCGATATGTCCCTGCTGACTAGATATATATAAAAAGGTACTATTTAAATGATCAGTATTTTTGATCAGTAACTATATCCTTTCTGAGCAGTAAACAATGTCGAATGTCAGTAATCACGATCAGGGCCTGCGTATGAGTATGATTGCGATTGTGGGTGTGAATGTGCCTGTGGATGTGAGTGTCCATCTCGTATCCATCCACACCCAGTTTGAATTTTTTACTGATAATTCACAATAAAACTACTGATCGCTTTTACTGATCATTTTGAATAAAAAACTGGCCATTTAATTTGTACCCTATATAAAACATGAACGTCAATTTGAGAGTAATCAGATCAAATTGAAAATTATTGAGTATTTATGCGTTCATTAGAGAGTTTATGATGAGTAAATCAATATTGATATACTTTTGAATCTGATTTTGTCTACATTTTATTTGAATAATTTACCTGCTAATTTAAGAACAATCTCCGGTCGAATACGAAGATTACTATTTTGACTAAGTATACATAATGGTTGTAATAATACACCACAATCTATAAAAGAAGGACAGAAAGAAATTAGATAAATTTATTTTCTATCTATTATTGTACCAATATATTCAATAGTTGTATCAATAATATCCGATGCAATTTGTGAGATTTCTCGATTGTTTGATGCAATATTTTGTGCAACAACTGGTAATGTTGAATTAATAACACTTGATAATGAATCGCCTAATATGGGAACAAGTTGATGCATTGTATTTAATGCTTTAAGTACAACTTTCGAATTCGTATCAGCTAAACATTCATTGAAACCATCAAATATTTTTACAAGAGATTGAATAGCTGTATCGGTTTCAAGTTCACATAATTTTTGAAATTCTTCAATACCATTTACACGTTCACGAAAATCTGAACTACGCATTTGTTTTGTTAAATCTCGAACTTGTTCGGCTTGATCAGCTGTATTTAATTTACGTGTTGATGAAAATTGCTTTGTTAAAGTTCTAAAATTATATTTTAAATAAAATCTTATACTATTTGAAATATTTATCTACCCATTTGTATTTATTTTATCATTTGATAATGCTCGTCGATTATTATTTCGTGCAGATTCACTTGGAGTTTCACCAACACCTCCCTAATTCATTTAAAATAATAATAATAACAAAAAAAAGCTCTAAATCTTATTTTACTTTAGCTCGAATATTATCAAGAATTTCACACATATTTTTATAAGCACTTGGAGTAAGATATTGTTTCATTAATGAATCAAGTGTATCAAATGACATAAACATATGATAGATTTTTTTACCATACCATCTTAAACAAAAAAATTTAAAATTTACTTAAATTTTTCCTTATTCTATTACCTAATTTCTGGTGGTCCATCTGATGCAAATGCTGCACCGACTTGTAATACACGTTCAGTAATATCTCGAGTACCAGTTAAAATTTTCATTGGACCTAATTTTTCACAAACTTGATAGATGTATTTAGCTGACGCTTTTCTTGCAGCTGGATTACGATGGCTAGAATTAAAATTTTCTATATCCATTGATGATTACTATACATTTCAAGGGTTCCTGTTAGGCTACAGTATACTTTGAAAAAATCTATTTTTATAATTTAATTGTTTTAAAGTCAACCGGTGTAAAAATGTTTTTAGTATTCTATCAACGATGAAATTTTAATTTACCTCGCTCCACCAGCTATTAATGCTTGTAATGCTTTTTGAAGTGTTACATTATCCACCATTGTTTGTATACATTTTTCTGTATCAGATCGAAAAAAAATCATTAGCTTCTGCACTTTTTTGTATTAGCGATTTTACAGTTATATCAAGTTCAATATCCATATTACGTTTTAAATATTTAAACATATCACAAAATGCTGCTAAGGCAAAACGAGCTACTTGTGATCGAAGATTTTTCACCTTGAAGAAAAAAAAAATAAGAAGTTGTGATGTTGTTTTTTAAGTAAACGAAAAAATTCAACTAACTTCTTGAATAAGAATTAAAACAACTTGATGTAAATTTTGTGTTATTGTATCTGGATACTGTGCAATAATCATTTGAAGTAAATTAAGACCCGAACATTTTTGTTCCCAATCATCTTTTGATATTGAATCCATTGCTTCTCGATAAGCAGTTGAAGGATTTTTTAATTGATCCGCCGCATGATCTTCTGATGATGGACGATTCAATGTAAAACGTTGTTCAGTTGTTGGCATATCACGTCGATTATTAAATGTTTGTGAACGAGCCATACTAAAATAGAATTTATGTCTATATAGATAATAAATATAAACCTAATATTTTCATACGAATTTTTTAATACACGAGGACGTTGTTGTGATGGAAAATTGGGTAAAACAGTATTTATATTTGAATCAATTTGACGTCGTGATGTTGTTAATGGCAGATCATTTGTAATTGCTGTAAGATCAGGTTGAGATGAATATCGACTAGTTGATGTTGATGATGATGCTGGCATATCATTATCATATGGAGTATCATCATTATCATTTATTAGATCTTCACGAGAACGATTTTCTCGAGCTTCTCGACGACGTGCTTTTTGTTCAATTTTTTCTTGAGTTTTCAGTTGAACACGTAAACGAAATGATGCTGATAGAGATTGACCCATCTCAACAGTCTATGAAATAAAATAGAATCTCTTCGATATACCCATGACAATATACAACGTCAGTACTGACTATTGAGATTAACTAAAAAAATTCTCATTTCACTGAATTTAATGAGATCTAACTTGGAAGTAAGTGTTTATAGGATTCACTTTGAAAAAAAGCTTTGTTAATAATATTGAAAGCATGATTTAGATTGGAAATCTTCGTTTAGAGGACTTAAATTGTTACACAGTCAAATAACACTTTCTCCTATTTTCTTTCATCACAAGCATGAGTTTATAGCTAGAGAGATGTCGGTATATCTTCCTTAGTTTACCAGTATCTATGACGCATAGGAATTACTTCATATATTAATAGTGTGAAGATTATCTTACTAACTTTTGCATTGAAAAAAAGGAGCTTCTCATCTGTAGATAGTGTTTTATCTCCGAGGGGTCAAACGCAAAATCGTAAATCTCTGAAGGGCGAACGTAATCTTTGGGTATGCAAAATGTTCCATTCCCGCACCAGATAAAGCACTGTTTGTAGAATAAATCTGATCAAAAGATTCTGATTTATACGCAAACACTAATATTTCTGACGATGCAGTATATAAATTTTTATTAATTATAATCATACTTACATTCTCATTTTCTTTTGAATCACTATCAAATTCATCCGACATCGTCTCAATATTATCATTTTGATCATTTAAAATATTATTCATTATATTATTATCTTGTGCTCGAAGTATGTTTGTTTCATTTTTTGTACGTGAAGGTAAATGAACAGCTAAAATATCAAACACAAAAATTACACGATAGTTTTATTTTCTTCCTAATTTACCTTTTCCAACAACTCCAATATCGTGATTATCATCAACATTAGATCCATCTTCCATATTAAAATTTGAATTTGAAGGATTAGTAAGAACAGAACCTATACGTAAAAAAAGGATGATAAATGTATATTATTTATTAATTTTTACGTCATTTTATGTTGCACTAAAATATATATAATTATAATATTGTTTATGCTTGATCTCAATAACAAAATTATAAAGCATGATTTCACATATCTCTTCTCTGTTTTATCTATGAATAGATTCTAATTTCGTTCTTCTTTTTCTTTCTCTCTATAGTTGGAATCTACCTGTCACAAGTATATTTTATATAATATCCCTACCAATGTTAGTCTATCTTGAATACAAAAAAAAAGATAAGATGATATATGACATTTATGAAATTGAAATCATAAAAATGTAAATTATTAACCTTATATAAAAAAAAATCTTCTATATTTGGCTAGTCTATTCCACACAAATATTATGTCACTTCAAGATATATTATGAATGACAGCTCAAATAATTATTAATGTCATAAGATTGAATTGTTTTTAGTCTAGTTTTTATAAAAATGAATAATGACCGAAAAAGTACATCTTTATGAACTTTAGTTTTTAATAAAGTCATGCTCGAGATAGTGGGATTGTTGATATTTAAATATGTCCTACAAGTTCAATTCGCGGAATCTTCATATTATATTTCCGATTCGAGCAAGAAATGAAAGAAGAAGAGAGAATATCAAATAACAAACCTTTAATAATTTTTGCGCGAGATTTATTTCCTAATTGTGGTTGTTTATCATCCGTACTATCAGTTGATAATCTTCTTGTTGAATATTTTTCATCCGTATAACCCCGACCAACAACTTCAACATATGGATTATATGATCGATGAGCTTTTTCATTAGATGAATAATTATCATAAACTTGTGCTGGTAATGATTCAGTGGGTGGTACTTGTGCTTTTTCAATTAGAGATTTCGAACCAGAACGAGCAAGACGTGGTTTTGTAGAAAATAATTGTTCTTTACTTAATGATCTATGAAAATATAATGAAATAAGAATCATATTTATTGATTTATCTATTTTACCTTGTAGCACTGTTAGCATCATATTCAGTATCACGACCAGATGGTGAATACACTCCACTTTCATTACTAGTTTCTGGTGTTAGGGTATGTGTTGATGTTGATTCAAGATCACTGTTAGTACTGAATATACGATTTACTTTACGTCTTGTTGAACTACTATGTACTGATCGAACAGGTTTTTTCGATTGTTGATGATTATTCTAAATACATATTTTTTTTCTTATAATAAAATAAAACAAAAATCTTATATTTTACCTCACGTTTACCATCATCTGATGTATTAATGGATAAGGAACGTGATCCTGTTGCACTATCAATACCTTCATCATGATCCATATCAGAATCTAATTGACGTACAGGATGTTTTTGATCATAATGATTATGAAGTTGTGATGTAACCAAAAGATTATGTGATGCTGGCATTCGTCCACCAGATGGACGACGTGGTATTACAGCACGAAATTGTAGAGGATTGTTGCCCTGAGTAGTGCTATCTATAGAAACGAATCAATTAGTTATAATAATACAGATCATAATTAGAAATAAATTAAGCATTGTTACGGGGAATGGTGTGTTCTCTATATATATCCTTATGATATTTTAAAACTTAAATCTCTCCTATCTTTTCTAAGAAGTTAATATTTTTCAAAAAAAAGAACTAATATGTTAGTTTGTATAATATAACAAACCTTGTCGTTGAACTGTTATCAAATCTTTTCGATGATTATTTGTTTTCAATAAATTTTTTGTCCAATCATCGGGAAATACTTTTTTCTGTCAATGTCAATGGACGAATACTATTACTACTATTTACATTAAAATCAAATGATGGTCCACTGGATGTAATAGTCGTCATAACTGCTGCTAAAATATAAAAATCCGAAAATTTTCATTTTCTTATATTTTTCTCTATCAATACATTGGAAGAAGAAAGAATGATTATCGATATTATGACATATGACAAAGAAAATATGTCTATAGTTAACTTAATAAAATCGCAAGAAAAAAGTTAATTAAAAAAAAACCTATTGATTCTTTTTTCTCTTTCAATAAACTTACTTATTGTAAAGAAGAAAAAAAATGAATCAAGAAGGAGACATAAATATATATTTGTCTAAGAATTCTAAAAAAAAATATTGTTTTCATTATAAAAATATTCTACGGTACACTCTGTTAGTTGTACTACAAGATAATAATAAATATATAAGAAGAAGAAAAAAAAATAACAACAGAAAAGATGAAACTACTTTTTTTGTTTCTACACTACCAATTTTTGTTGGACGTTTTGTCGATAAATTCAATCGCCTATTTAGTTGGTGACGCGGCTGACCTGATGTGCAATGAGGGGAAGAATACAAAAGAAAACATATCAAACCAAGACAACACCTGAATGACAAGTTAATCATAAGTACTTACGATTAATTGCTGTTTCATAATGATGATTATTATTATTGGTATATCGATGTGAGTCGTATTCAGCAGTAGGCTGTTTTAATGGAGGTATTTCACGACTGCGCATTACCTATAATATATATAAAATAGATAAATGAAACTGTGACTGACATGCTTGTAAGATTAATGACAGATTATTATATGAAATGTGTAGGTGTATTCATGACAGGATCTTAGAAAAAAAAATTTTAATTATCTTTTTACATGGAATTAATAAAGTATATATTTTTTTGTAAGAGGAGAAATATAAATGAGTCCTGTTTTTATGTCATCAGGAAACAAAAAAATTATGTAGTCAGTCAACTTGATATTTTTCTGTGTTAAGCGAAAGTTTTGGTTATATCGACCTATACTTGTTTGACATTCGAAGTAATCAATCTCGTTTATAAAGACTAAATAACACGAAGTTCTATAATATAGAAGTTAACTGAAAATCTCGATTACTATATGATATATTAACTATTCTATCTGAATATAAGTGCATTCACAAAGCGAACGTAACAGGATTCTTTTAATCAGAAACGTCATATTAACATTCTTTAGAAACTACCTTATTAGTTATAAATATCTTCTCTACATAAAAAAAAATACGTCATTCACCGGTAATTCGAATTCAACCACAAAACAATACGATCGTTAAAAAACAGAAAGAACGAAAGAAAGAAAGAAAAAGAAGAATATCATATTTCATGTGCGATGCTCACTGTAGGCGTATATATATATAATAATGAGTAGCAATTTTTTCTTCTTCTCATCTGTTCTAAATAAACGTCGAAAACTTACAAAAACTCTTTTATATGTCTATACTTCTACTAAGATGAAGATAACCTGTATATTTACATCTGACTTTAACCAGACATCTGTAAACAAAACTTACCAATGATTTAGACTTTTTAGGCCAATATGAAAATTTTTTATCACCAGATAGGAACATTGTCTGATAAGAAAAATGTATATAGGTGTTAAATCGATATATTTACTATTAATGATAGTTAAAAGAAATCTTTAGACAATAGCAGTAGTTGCTGTTGTTATTTTTGTTACTTTTTTTTTCGGCTCATGTATGTACGTCATCGCCATCGAACAATAATGAAAGAGTAAAATTTTCAATCATTCAATTCTCATGTACTTTACATATACTTAGACATTACTTTTTATTTCCCTTCTTTTTTCTCTCTCTGTTTCTCTCTTTCTTTTTCTTCGTTTATGAAAGTTTTCTTTTTTTATTGATGATGACGGTTTTAGTTATTTTAATGTACTGAAGACAGACAGAAAAGTTAAAAAAAATATATGCTTTGTCATTACTTGATATGTTTTATTCATGATTATTAGCATTTGTTTTCAGCTGTATAGCAGCTGATTATGAAATTATAATACTTATCTTTAGATTTCTTCAAAGAAATAAATAAGCACATTTTTAAGTATTGACATATGATCTTTTATACTCAAGATAAGACATAATTATAGAAGCACGATAAAATATTGTAGAAAAATTTTTTTCATTTCAACGTAATAAATATTTTAGAGAATAAGTAGAAAAGTATTTATAGATATTTATTTAGACAAGTCATAAGAAATAAATTCTTCTAACAGATCTATCATAAACTAATGTAATTTAACCACCTAGACAGACAAAACTCAAAAAAAAACGGAGAAATACGGCGTAGAAATTTTAACGAAAATAAAATCGAGAAAAGCGCACATTTTTATGATTTTTATCTCCATTAGCTTTGTTTACTGTGATTAACGCGTCGATAATCTGTGCTTAAAGCGTTAAAACTCATAAAATAACGTGTAAAACCACATTGAATTCCGCCTTTCGACGAGTAACTACGGGGTAGATTTTAATACAGTAGAACGCTTTCCAAAAAATTGCGTAGAAACGCGTTTTTTAGAGGTCTCGGCAGTGGCGGATCTAGGATTTTGGAAGAGAGGGGCGATTCCTAAGTAGGGGAAAGGAGGCAATCGCCCACCTTAAATCCGCCACTGAATTTAACATAGAATTTCTTTGAAAAGTATATCTTTCGTTTTCGAACTCTCGTAGAGCTATTGATAATTAGTGTTTATCATTAATACAACTTACTGTATCATTCGTATTTGCCTTTTTTGCTGCAAATGGCATTGCTAATTGAAGTAGTTTGGTATTATTTGCTGAGATTTTCGTTGATGGACTATCAAAATTCGTTGCTGTTGGTGGTGTTTTCACCGAATTATTATTAGCTTGTAAAATAAATTTCGTATCTGGATCATTCATTGTGGTTGAATCGCAAACTAAACCCGGTGTAATATTTCCATCATCAGTTAATGATGGAAATAGATTACGTTGTAAACGAAATCGTAATGCATGTGATGCATCATAAGATAGTTTATCAATTAATGATAAAACTAATTTAATCGATTGATTTGTATCAATCATTGTTGATGTTAAAGGTTTATATGCATTAAAATACGTACATATAACTGTAAAACATTCCATAGCTCCATGTCGTAATTCTCGTCGATTTGATACTAACATAGGAAGTAAATGTTTATATATACTTGATATACTATCATAATGATGTTGTCGATGTTTAATTAATGTTGCTGTTACTATAGCAAGAAGTTCAAGTTGTATACGATAATTATAATATTGAAATTGATCATCGATTAATTCATTAAGAATCATTTGTGGATGAACAAAATTTCCAAGTAATATTATAATACTAACACTGTATTTCTATTTAAAAACAAACATATAGTGACTAGTAGTTTTATTTATTCTAAAAGACTACATACGGCTAATTGTCGATTATTTGATTGTCCATTGAGTAGAATATTTTTAAATACTTGACAAATTGTTTTATAATGTTTTTTACAATAATTTCCTTGTGAATGTTTAATAAGCCAAACAAGACATGTTGATAGGACAAGTTTAATTTTAATTGATAAATCAATATTTGTTCCTGTTATATAAGATAATAATTCAAGTATAGATGATAAAAATGTATGTAATGGTTGATGAAATTGTAAATCAGATGTTGATGTTGATGGATATTGTGAACGAAGTATTTGAAAAGATTTATCACTTAAAACCAGAAGACGATCGACATAAATTAAACGATTCGTTTCATTTGATGTCATCCATTTTGCATGTATAGTCTCAATAAGAGAATTTATATCAGAACTTTCAATTTGAGAAGAAACAGTAGTTTTTTGTGTGAAAAACATATTATCAGTGTAATTAGTGCTATTGGAATGGAAACCATTTGTTTCTAGAAAAAAAGAAAATATTGAAAGTTTGTTTTTTAATTTTTACTAAATCATAAGGCCTAGAATATCACATATTCATTTTAGTGTATCGATCATATATACCGATTGCTTCGTTAATAGTTGAATATATCCGCCGATTATCTTTTATTTTTTTTGTTTTCAAAATATTCTCATTTTACTGTTTTAGAATCAAATCAATATATACTCTTAATCGATTTTGAATTCATACCTGTACACTGCCTCATTGAAAATGAACAAAATCTATTAACTATATAGCCGTAAGTTAAAAAATCGATTAACAAATGTTGTGAAATAAGTTTTTTTTGTAATAACATATTCTGAGTTACTATTGGTTTACAGTTTATTGATAGTTAACAATAAGCAAAAGATAAATAACATTGAATCAAAAATGTCCTTAGTCAGTAATTTTATTCAAAATTTAACTTCTATTAAATATACATGAAGAATTCATGTGATGAAAATAATATCAAACAAAATTTTTTTTTTATAAAATCAAGTGTAGACAAAACAGAGTTCGATAAAAAAAAATTCTTCTAGTACTTTGTGCGCAATAATAACATATTTTAATGACAATGAAAATTGTTTCCTTTTTTTTATTCTGTGTCTATTAAAATAACAATATTTAAGACTTACGTTCTTTAAAATAAATATTTATTGTACTTCTAAAATAACTTTTCAATATAAAGAAATTTCTCTTAGAAAGATCATTTCCTCATGATAATAAATAGAGAAATTTATTTAAATATTATCCTACCTGTATGAGAATACATTAAATTATTCATTGGAGGTCGTTGTACTGATGCTCTTGGTGTTTCTTCTTCATCGTCTAATTCATTATCATTTAGTTGTGGTACATATGTATAATAGAGTCGTCGTAATGATGGTGAATATGATTCAAGATATTGATTAAATAAATCTGGATTTGCTATTCGTTTAATATGTTGAATTGCTCGAATAAGAATCATATTATAATTCGAACGAAATAGATTATCTTGTAAATATTGAAGAAGTAATTCAAATATAGATGATATATTTTCATGTTGATGAGATTTTGTTAATAAATCACTTAATGTTTCGATAGATTTTATACATATACGTATATTAGGAGATTTTAAACCATCTTTTATATAAATATATAAAAATGTTGGAATATCATCTGTTATATTAAGTTGTTTAACTAATAATTGAGAAGTTAATGTTTGAATATCATGTGATGTGGAAGAAAGACATTGAATAATCACTAAATAGAAAAAAAAGATAAGAAAATCATTTTTTGTTTTGTTTTTATAAACCTGGAAGATAAGTTCGTTGATCATAATGATGTATAGTTATTTGAAGATCCGATAGAAGTGTTAAACAATTAAATAGATATTCTAAATTTGTTGTTTGTTGAAGAGTATTTGCCAGAGCTACGAAAACATCATGTCTTTGAGATGCATCAAGAATATTTGATAAACGATTACGTCGAGGATTTTTACACCAATGATTAACAATTTGAATTTTATTTTCAGTATTTTGTCCATGTAAAAGTATATCAATTAATTGACTATCAGCCATAGTTAAATCATTTTTAGGTAAAATATATGGATTTGATGAAGGAGAACCACCCGAACCTTTGGGCATAGTATGAATTGATGATGCAACAGCCATTGAAGAGAATTATAAAATTTTTAAACTGACTGATGTTTAACGACACAATACCATTAATGTTATTTCTTCTTCATCTTCTCAACTCGTTCTGTGTTCTTGTTTATTCTGTAAACAAGGAAAAGAATAATTTATTTAATATATATAGATAACCTTGAATTCATCTTATCGATCAAATCGAGACATTCTCAATCCTTATCTTCAAATAAAATTTAATTATAACTCTTTAAACTCAATATGTTGATATTCATTTTTTTCTATATTTATTCCATCATAAAGTGCTTAGCGACATTATAGATGTTACATTACATAGCAACTGTAGTTAATACTACAAAATAGATTTATAATATATTTATTTTATCATAAACGTAATCTCAAACTAAATAAAATTAAGCTTAAATAATTAGAAATAAGAAAAATTAGAAATAAATTGACAACTGGTGACATCTAATTTAATTGCCTTTGCATGCA